ACTAAATTTAAAAGTATGTTAGCGTCTACATCATGATCTATTATAGGCAAACGAAGAGGCTTTCAAAGAAATTATTCCTCAAGAGGAAACGCAAACCCCTACCAAACAGAATGAAGAACAAGTGGGAAAAGTAGGTCTTGATCCATTGGCCGAAAGGCAAGAATACGAACTAGAAAAAGAATATGTAACTGGTGAGCATTTCAGATCAATTTATAAAGAAAATAATAAGAAAATAGAAATTATACCTTCTGAAGAGGATATAGTATTTTTAGAAAGGCAATATGATCCTGCTAGATAATACAGATCTTTAAAAGATATGACTGTATGGGAGGGGATTGTTCCTTCAAGTAAAAATCTAGCATATATATTTAATAAATGGCAAGATAATTCAAAAGAATATGCTGATGCCCTATATATACCCTATCTTATAGTATCAGCTCGTAATATAATTACAAATGTTTTTCAAGAAGAACTACATAGAAAGGATCAAATAAAATCAGTATTAGTTGTAAAAGCCATATATGTAAAATATACATATAAAGGAATAGGTTATATTAGCGACCCAACAAACTATAAAACTAATTATCATCATCCATATCATAAAGGCTTAATGCGCGAAATCCTTTTTGAGAAATATATAGATGAGTACATAACTCTTTCTAGTGAAAAAATCGATAAATAGATCGAATCATACCTAAAAGAAGAGTTTGGTAAGATTCTTCTTTGAATTGAGATGGTAATAATTGAGTTTTACACTTTATATCATGCTTATAGAGGCTCATACATCCTCACTCCCAAGAAGTTTACTAACACAAAGTGTACTATCAACTCAGATAATTCAGACATTATTGATCCAGTTACGGGCAAGCTAACAGACAATTGTTTTTAGAGAGCATTAAAATATTATTTCGCATATCAGAATAGAATTATAGACCACCTTGGTAAATATATATATTGAGCAAAAAGTTTTCGAAAATATTTAAAAAAGATCAAGCTTGATGGAATCTCAATGCCAACTCCTATAAGCTTGTGAATCTTTAATAAGATAGAAGAAATGAATACAGATATCTCTATTAATGTCTAGAAATGAAATGAAGAAACTGCACGCCCAAAACCCATAGTTGCTAGTAAGAATTTCTATATTTCAAATTCATGTAAAATAGAAAATTGTAAGCATAATAATCTGAACAAATGTTATGAAAAAAAACTGCATGTAATTCATTTTATGGCTATTACAGATATAACCCAATCTGAAGAAAGTAAGTACGGACAAAAGAATCACTTCCTCTGGATCAAAAATCTGAATAGCTTAGTATACAAGGATTCTGCTCATAGTAATAAGAAGCATTTATGCAATCAATGCTTTCAGAGTTGGCCAATAGAGAATCTTTAGCCCATCACCAGGAGTGGTGTTTCAGATTGGGCGAAGCTTCTAAAGGTCATAGTGCCCATAAAGGATGTTAATGACTTTGAGAAATTCAAGAATCATAGGAGAATGACTAATGCTTCATGTGTGATTTCAGGTGACTTTAAGACCAGAAATAAGAAATATAAACTAATTAATGGAGGGAAAACTCGTTTAATTTCAGAGCAATATGCTAACAGTTTCAGCTATACAGTCTATTGGATTGATACAGGTGAGACATAGGAGCCTTTTTTATATTGCGAGCCAAATGCTACATAAGAATTCATTTGAAGGATTAATCAGAAGTTGGTAGAAATTAATAAAGTCTTAGCTATTAAAGCAGAGCGAATTATTACAGATGAAAATAAAAGACAATTTGCAGAAGTAAATAGCTATTGGATCTGTAAAGGTAAATTCGCTATAGATAGAGAAGAGGTTAGATGCTTGAAAAATAAGTTTGTTCAGTTTAATAGAAAGTTAGAAAATACTGCTAAGGATTCAGAAGAGTATAAATCCATAAAAACAATTATTCTTAAAGTAGCTAAAGAAATTGATCTAGCTGAGTCTAAGAATGAAAAGATTTAGAATTATTATCATATTTCTGGTAAGTTTTGTGGGACGTCATATAAGTCCTGTAATCTTAAACTTCAGATCGAACTATAGAAGATTTCAATTCCAATTGTATTTTATAACTTTTGGAGGTATGACTCTCATTTAGTCTGTGAATCAATCGGGCGGTCTGTTAATGCTCATCAAATCAGTGTAATTGCTGAAACATTTGAGCAATATAAGTCTATGAAGGTAGGTCAGCTTAAATATATTAATAGCCAACAGTTTATGAATGATAGCTTGGCCAATCTCACAAAGTATCTAGGAGATGATCATCCAGTAACTAGTAAGTATTTTAAGAGTAAAGGCTATACAGATGAACAAATAACCTTAGTGTGTCATAAGGAGATATACTCATATGACTATATAGATTCTTACGAAAGATTCTTGGAGACAGAACTTTCTCTATTTCATGAATTCTATAGTCAGCTTAAGGGAGATATTTCATATGAGGATTATAAATATGCTCAGAAAGTATGGAATGAATTTGGATACAAAAATCTAGGTGAGTATCATGATCTATATCTTATAACAGACATACTCAACCTTATTGATGTCTGGACTAAGTTCCAAAAGACATCTTTAGAACATTATGAGCTTGACCCCAGCCACTACGTATCTGCTCTATCATTGTCCTGGAATGCTATGCTTAAGTTTACTGGAGTTAAGATCAAGCTATTCATAGAAATGGCTATGCATAATTTCATCAAAAAAGCTAAGCATGGTAGTATTGCCATGGCAGTGCATCGATATTTCAAAGCTAATAATCTGAAAATGGGAGAGGCTTTCGATCTATCCTAACGCATAACTTGGGTTTCATATATCAATGCAAATAATCTTTATAGCTAGGCTATGAGTCAGTTCTTACCTATTGGAAATTATAAATAGGTCGCTAGTCGGGAATATCTTCTCAAGAATCTTAAGATGCAAAAGAAATATCTTAAAATAATTCTCAAGACTAAAGCAGATACATCACGTGAATTCTATCTGAATATCTACTCATATTTTCCTCTAAAAACTCATAACTATTTAAATGACCTACCCCCAGCTGTGGAAAATGTTGCAGTAAAAAAATATATGCTATGTATCTATAATGCTAAACTTGTGAATAAAATGGATGGAAGATGCTTCTCAGTAACGAAAAAATTAGTACTTTACCTAGGTCCTCGAAAAGATTATGTTATCTATTACCAAAAACTTCAATATTATGTGAAGCTAAGAATGATTGTAGATAAAGTTACAGAAATTATATCTTTCGACCAGACTAACTGGCTTACTTCATATATTGCAAAAAATACCAAGTTACGCTAGAAAGCTAAAAATACCTTTGAAAAGAATTTCTTTAAGCTCATGAATAATTCAGTATATGGCAAGACTATGGAAAATATTCGTAAATATCAGGATGTCAAGCTTATGGCTATGAATAATAAGAGGGATAAGAAGAAATTCCTTAATAAAGTTCATAAGCCCTCTTTCAAATATAGACGTCAGCTTGGAGATACATTAGTAGGAGCACATATGGGAAATACTAGAGTAACTCTTAACAAGCCCATTATAGTTAGTGCATCAGTATTAGGTCTTAGCAAGCTTTTGATATATCGCTTCTGGTATGACTATATTAAGGACAAATATGGGGATAAAGTTAAGCTTGGCTATATGAATACAGACTCTTTTATATTCATAACTGAAACAGAAGATATCTATAAAAATATGGAAGAAAGATCAGACCTTTTCGACCTTAATGATTTGAAGATTATTAGACTTTTCAAAGATGAGTGCCCTAATAAAAAGATGATCATAGAATCAATTCATATCTAAGCAAAGGTTTACTATAATGTCTTAGCTAATAAGACCATGAAGTCTACACATAAGGGGGTTAGTAAGAGAGGTATGAGTGAAATGGTAACAGATACATACTTCCCATCATTAGGCAGGTCTTTACTAGATGATTCTGTTCTAGAAAACAAGATATTCGATCTTTTGATCTAAGTATATCAGGATTGCCTCTTTGGAAAGGAAGTATTTCATACTAAGAATATTAGTTTTCGAGCAACATAATATTTCTTATTAAGATAAAGAAAAAAGCTCTTTGCTCAATAGATACTAAGCGCTGAATTTTATCTAATGGAATAACTACTTTATCATATGAATATTGGCATATTATGATTTATAAGAATATGGTCAAAGATGATATTTTCTATAAAGAGGCTGAAAAAAGAGCTATAAGGGCTAAGCTCCCAGAGAAATATCAAAATGAATGTGTATCTCACATATCTAACTCACACATATAAGCTAGATAGTGATGAGTAGTTGGATCACATACATTATTATATTATTTTTTTTTCCTGATGCAATAAATATTCAGTTATAAAAAAGATGATAGCTGAACATTTTATTATTCGATTCTAAGAGAAGGGTTAGATGACAAATACCCTTTTCTGCAGTTCGATAGAACAAGGGAGGAATATTATTTTTTCAATTAAAGATATAGGCTCATATAGTAAAGTATGGGATTTAATATCAATTTGCACAATATAGAAAGTTTAGATGAAATTATAGAAAATGCAAATAAAAATATTAAAAAGGTATTTCTAGCAGGGATTGCACCTGAATTTCAATAAGAAGCCTATATAATTGGTCTTAAATTAACATTAGATAGATTGGTACAGAAGCTAGAGTTTACGTAAAAAGATGATTATTTTTCTAAGCCAAGCAGTCCAGAGTAGTGATTATCACTCAGAAAAATAAACCATTTTTTGCACCTTTTTTCCTATGACTATTTTTCAACAGGGATGTCCTGGCTGAAATTTTAGTTATACAAATTTTTCTCCTGAAGATCTTTGATCGAAAGAGGGATTATCATATTTATCTCAGAGGCTTTTATGTTTTACGACGATCGTAGCCTTAACTGGGGATATAGTAGTCTTTTTTTTGTGACATATCTTTTCATCATTGATCCTGATTTATTTGTGATCTTCATTTTGTGATGCTCATTTCTGAGATGTTTATTTCTAAGATAAATTTTCAGGGTAAGGCTAATTTCATTTTAGTCTTGATATATGAAAAATATTTATATAGGGAAAAAGGGCGAGAAATCTTTATGATTTAACAGTATGACTAGCAAAATACTAGCAAGTCCTTCAGAAATCCATGCGGATGATATAGAGGTTTTTTAACTTAAAGCACTTTTGTTAAATTTTTTAAGAAACACTTCTGAAATAACTGATAAACATATCCTGAAACTTAATTCTTGCCACTTCTATGATGAAGGAATTCTTGCCTTACCACTTCATTTATTCACAGTATTATCATGTAGACATATATATCATCAAATATATCTTGAAAAACATATTATACAATCAGAAACACGTTTTTCTTTATGCCCTATTTCTAGTTGTATATTATCTATCGAACTTGTTAACGAGAAACTTATACTAGCTTCTGATGAATATCACATGGTATTTAAGGATAAGGATTTCAGGAAAAAAATCCCTAAGTGATGATACTGTAGGAGGTGAATCAGAACTTTTGCTTGACCTAGGATTAATAGACAATGATTCTCTTACGGGTTAAAGAGAAAAAATAACCAAAACTATTACGCATAATCAAAAAACAAATCTTACTATAGATATAAAAAGTTCTGCAGATAATTTAACTAATCAAATAGTTGGAGACAATACTGACAATGCACAAATTTAGTCATCAAGGGAATCATCCAAAATTTCTTGCAAACAGGACAAGATACAAGGTTTATTGCAAGAATTGTCTATATCCGCTAAAGGAGAATCTGAAGAAGAAAATGATAGTGAAGAGGGTGGGGGATCTATTTCACAAAATTTAACGCGATTATATAAAAAAGCAAGTCTCGCAGAAAAATGTGTCATGAAGGTTAACCAAGATGAAATTTTGTATTAGTATCGATTCACAGAAAGCTTTGAAAAAAGAGTCAAGGAGATCATGAATAGTAATAGCAAGCTTAATGATCAATAAGCTAGAACTTGAGTATATGAAGAAGTTGCACAATATTTACCTGACTTTACTAAAGATAGTTTGCGTAAAAAGACCATTAAAGCTAGAAATATCTATAAATTATTTGAACGAAACTGTCACCTCATATCTCGTAAAGAAATTAGGGGAATAGAAATGTCAAAAATCAAGCGAGTTAAATCATATAGTGCGGATTACATTTTAAAGCTAACTTCTACATAAATTCATAATATTATAGAACATTTCTCCAATGCTGATTGCGTCTCCTCAAGTTAATGCCAACGTAACCATTACGTGCTTACTGCATCTCATTTATTACACCTGTGAACATATTATGTATAAAGCATATCGATATGCTATATCCAAATATGATTTTACTTGACAATTATTTAATCAACCTAAAAATTGTATTTGTATGACAAGCAACAACCAATTATCTCATAATGTATATTATTTTCTTTCTGAAAAAAATTAGCACAAAAAAATACATTATTTCAGTTTTTACATTATCATTTATTATTTTCTCTCTCGAAGTGCTCACCCCATAACCTAATGTCTAGAGAAGATATGAATGAGAATTGTAAGGCATTTAAAAGGGCAGTAAACAAAATTTAGAATATTTGTCATTTTATAATGATTTTATTCGCATTAATAAACTATTATTTCTAAAATGTCTGAAAATTATTTTTACCTCAATCGCAACCAACCAAACCGTGTATTATATTTTAAGGAATGGTTTCCCAATATTTACCTACCGAGTGTTAAAATTTTGAGAAGAAACAACGTTAATACGATAGAATCACAATATTATCAAGAGTTTCAGAATGCTATAACCATATATGGTGAGACTCACTTAAATAGTAAAAAAAGCTAGAGAAAATCTTGTTACAATTTAATTCTATGTCTAAGGTATGTATTATAAAAAATATTAAATCTCTTTAGCACAGCTCCTTTTGACCAAAAATGATGATATGATTTTGCAGAAGAGTAATAAATATAACAACATAGGCCTATATTGCTGTCTGTATTCAGGTGTACGTGATAAAGATTTAGCATATGTCTTAGCTTTCAGAGTGCTAATACTGTAAGCATCAAAGGGTGCAGACAGGAGATTCATCGTTCTGTGTGATTTCTCACACTAGATTCAGTACGAGCTATACCTCGTGTACCTCATCGCTGTCTGTGGGTATGAATCTCATAATTATTATGAAAAATGAATAACCTCATAATATCTGATTTATTGATATATATTTTATAAATAATTTACTTAAGTAAATGCGCTAGATTAATTTTTTTCTTTCTAATTCTAGGAGCAACGTCGAACATTTTATAAGGAAGTTTAGACCAGAGAAAAAGAGAAGGTAAGCATATTTTTACTTATATGTTATAGTTACCAATTTAAAAACATTTTCTTATCTATAACTTTTGCACTATACAGCGTCAATTTTTAGAACAAGAACGCAATATCAATATCATTCAAGAGAATGTCGAATTTATATTAGGCAAATGTGTAAGTAAATATCAGATTTCTGATTTATTAGTGATACTTAATGCTGATGAGAGAATTATTATCTTTAGAGAACTAAGATAAAAAACAGCTGCTTAGATTCTATTATGATTGCGTATACTGAAGTTATCCATCATCTGCAACAGTTAGATTTGTTGTCAATTAGACCAGAAGTTCCTATAGCATCTGGTGTTATCGATCTTTCAGGTAGTAAAGATTTATTTACAAATTTATTATTGAGGATAAAGCAGATTTTGACGCATTATACATTCCATAATGAGAGAATTCCAGAGCAAATAAATATAATGATAGATGATTTCATAAAGACATATAAAGATCTGAGACCTGATTTTGATCTAGTATTTATACGACCAATTGCTTTCCCACAAGAAGAAATACCTGTTGAATCCAAACGTATACTGATGACGGTCTTTGACTTATTAGAAGAATTGTAAGTTATTAATGTGTAATTTTATTAATGCTTGTGTTAATGATAATATTTCTTTTTTAGATGTCGCATTTGGAGTTGTAGACCGTTGTTGACAGAGGATGAATATAGCGAGAATGCTTATGTGATTCATGCAGTATCAAAGGTTTTGGATCCAATCTTCACATATTCAAAATGGCTACTCAAGCGTGCATGGTATGTGACTATACAACTATTTTATAAACAAACTATATATATCAGCAATACCAACTCTGTTAACTTTATAGGTCTGAACAGATGAGTAAATCATCACAATCTAGGATGGAGCGGATGAAAGCTACAAATTCAGGAAAGAAGCCAGATTTGCAAGTTTTACTAAAGCTTAATATAGCGGAAAGTGAACTTGTACTTGCTAAATTTTCACGATTACTCCCACAATTAGACAAAGAAATCATCGACTGGAAAAAGGTGGTATGTATTTGCAAAGATTGTTTCGATGAGCGATATAATATTTTCTTTAATGGAAGGGATGACACCAGTGATACAGCTAGATTGATAAACATCAAGTTAGGGAAGGTACCTATTTAGGTATCCAAGTAATATGAGATCGTGTGACTGTATCTGCATTTGACATATTTGAAAATAAATTTTATCGGGTCTTTTGAATCTCTGAGTTGGTTATACCATTATGCATTTCTTCTTGTCAGACTGTGGAAATATTTTTAAAAAACGCTCTTGAAATGAAATCTGTAGTGGAAAAAATTATTGCAATGACTGTAGATATAAAAGACGAAATTAACCTTTTGCGGAAAATCAAAGATCGAACCCTGTTATTATCAATGATGTCGACTACATATTCACTACCAAGAAATTATTAGCGTTAGGTAAATTAGATAAAAAGATTCACAAAATTTTCTAGAATATCATGTATTGCTTTTCTGCTATTTTTATAATGTACTATTTTTATTTTTGTATCAATAAACCTGCGATTTTTTATGCATTAAATATTTTTTCATGTGAGTTAGCGCATACATTGGAAAACATTATATGCCATTACTCAAAAAATTTTTTTTGGCAAAACTTTGTGAACTAAGTTCACAAAGTGGAATTACGTGAATTTTTTATTTTGAATGTAAATATACAGTGTATAAAATTATTTTTGAAAATGGCATTCGAGATTGACTTACTTAGACAAGAAAACATCAGATTTATAGCTAAGAATACTAAGTTTAAGGCCAAGTATGACGAGACCAAAGATGAGATTACAAAACTAAGGGTTAAGCTCAGAAATAGAATCGAGGAATTAGAAATAGCTAGAATAGATACTGCCATTGAGAATACTAAACATGATGCTAAAAATATCAGGCGTGATACTGAGAATGCTGAGCTTAAGGCTAGGGTTACAAAGTTGAAAGAAGATTCTAGGCATTCGCGAAAGGATTCCTTTTCTAAAAAACCTGCTGACATACTTAATTCCATAGTAGCAAATGAAACAGTACCTGCCAATTTGAAGTCATCAGAGGAAAAGGTTATAGACTCTTTCTTAGGTGAGATAAATAAGAAAATGGTTAGTGATAAAATTAGGCGGAAGATGCTTGCAAAGTGGAAATCATTTTCTCTGAAAAGAATAAGCAGATTTCAGTTGACAAAAGGGTGCTTTGTAAGGAAAATCAGAAAAAACAAAGAGAAAAATTCATTTGAGAAGTGACAGAAGAGGTAGACACTAAAACGATCCTAGATGATTCAATACTTTTAATATCTTCCCAAAGAGAATCAGATTCAAGCGCTAATATTATAGAAATGGAAACGCTAACCCTTTCTCTTTTGTATAAAAAACTTTGTAATGCTGTAACCCTTGCTGATCATGCGACTCAAAAAGCTATCTTTTGTTACTGCCAATTTGGGAAGGCTCTTATCCAGAGGCAAGGTGAAATCGCATCTGAAAAACATGTTGATCTGAAGTCTAATACAGTCAGTAGAATTCTAAATATAGAAGTTAAAGCTCAGCTTTCTGCAGTTACTTCTGATGCACTTTTACGGAAAATAATTGAGCAGGCTAAGAAGCTCTATACACTTTTTAATGTAATAGGTATGGATAAAATAAATTGAATTCATTCCTTCTTCACTGATTCTATCTCAAAAATGACGTATAAAGACATCCAGTATATTATAGACAATATGTTCTTTGATTATAGCATCCATATGGAGCTACAACTTCGTGAACTGAATTCACAAAGTGATAAGAAAATTTCTGACTTATCACATATTACTAGTTCAGTTACGCCTACTGAATCTCAAGTTCCTAATGAATCTGCCTCAAAAAAAATTGATACCAAGGTGATACCACCTATTTCTCAACCCCTAATTTATGACTGCACCTATTTCTGCAAAAAGATATTGGATCAATCTTAATTTAAATATAGAATGTAGTAGTGAAAATTTTGATTATTATGAGATTACTGATGAGACATCATGTGGAGACTACATCTGCTCATTATGCGAATTAAATTATGATAAAGAAGAAATAGAAGGTGAGTATAAAATCAGATCTTACCTTATTAAATGTGAACAGCGTAAAATTGAGATAACTGCATAGTCCCATTATTTACAATACTATATTTGCGTTTCTCTTGAAAAACTATTTTTTACAAGGCTAATTCATATTAACTACTACTAAATTAAATTAACTTACATATATATAAAAAGAAAAATGACTGTGTCTGATAAAATACTAACTGCTGAATATCTGGATTGGCACGCTAAATTAAGTAGATTATCAAGTATTTTATCAGATAAGTTTCATTTCAAATTATACAAAAGATATAAAAAAGAAACTGGAAATGAGCTGTGACAACTAACAGAAGTACATGAATCAAAAGTTATAAATTCAAAGTCAGAAAAAGAACCTATCATCTTCAAAGCCAGACCTGATCCAAAATTAATTATCAAATCAGTTTTAGAACACTTCCCATACTTGAAATTCCAAAATAGTTTTAGGGAAATTGATAATTATAATTTTATATCACTTCAGCTGTGAAGCTCATCATGCCCTATTTGCAATAGAAAATATGAGAATTATGAATTACATGGCGAATGGTATAAAAATGAAATGGAATATTGTCTTACTTGCAATATTTCAAACAATAAATTCAAGTTCGCGATTGTGATTTAGACCGGTCATATGAGATCGATTACCTAAAAAAATGCAAAATGAATTAGTAAAAAATTTATTATCTATATTGCGAAAAATGTGATTTTGTATTAATGCTAGTTAGTAAAAGTGATTAGCATTAGAGGCGTACACGTGATCTGATTGAAGTTGTATTACTAGCAGATTTCTCATGATATTGACGTGTAAATTTATTTTTAATGCTATGTCTTATGCTAGGGTAAATTCAGGAATAATTCGTGCTTTATGGTCTCATCCATATCCATAAGGTAAAGTTTTATAGGAGGTAGTCCTGTCTTTTAGTTCTTCTGTGTATCGGATTGGGAATTCATAACTCTGATTTTTATTTAAGGGTATTTATAATTCAAAATATTTTTTTTGTAAGCAGAATATTGGTTACTTTTTTTCTGTGAATTCCACCATTTCCTAACTATGAACTATATAATCACAATCAGTAGTAAACAGGTATGGAATATGTTACCATCAGCGTCAATAGAGAATTTATAATAACAGAAACAGTCGCTGATGTTAAAGGCATTTCTTAGGACAATGGTACTACTTCTGCATTACCTAAATACTTCGCAATCCCTTTTCTCAAAATAAAATTTTCAGAATGTGCTGGTAGACTATAAACAGATTGATTAGGTATGATAACTTCTTAGTTTTTCGAAACCATCTCATTCTGGGATAATAGCTCTTGCAAAGCCTCTAATATATTTTCTTTGACAAAACTTTTATCAAGTTCTATAACTTTATCTTCAAGACCACGTTTATAGACAAGGGGTCTTAAATTGTCACTGACCCAATCTGGTAGCTTTTGTGATGAATCGTTCATAGGTGGAGATGAGAGATAAGAGAGATCTGCTATTTCATTATGCGAAATGCCTCTCAGCTCTTTCTTTAATGCTAACTAATCCCTGAGGGACCTATTTTCATCTATCAATTTTAATCGCCTTGAAGACTGAATATCTATTTCTCATTTATATATACTATCTGATGACTCTTTCCCTTTTTTCATACATTCTATTTCATAATTTTTTGAATTAATTTCCTCCTTCATTCGATTCAATTCAAGCTTGAAAGAATTGATTTCTTTAGGATCGGATGAGCTTATTTGGGCTGACCCCTCTATCATCCCTTTTATTATATCCAAATCATGATATGTATGCTCTAGATCTATATCCTCTAACTTGCCTTCCAATTCACGTATTTTAGTTTCAAGAGAAAGAATCTGGACCTTGTCAGCAGATGAAGCTTTCTGGACTAAAGTTGCCTCTCTCTTTAGTGATTTAATATTTGATTTGAGCGATTTGATTTTAGTAGTATATTTGGCTTTAAGCTCACTGTTAGCTGTATTCAGCTGACTAAACTTATTGTTAAAACCCGAACAGATACGATTAAAATCCTTCACTCACTCTAAATATACATCCTGCAGGTCTGTATAATCATTAGCAATATCAAAAGCAGTTTTGATGCTACTGCGCAATGCTTTCTCAAGTTCTTATTCACAGATGCTACTAAGCCAATGACCTAAAGGGATTTGTTTACTTAGTAAACCTCTAACTGCCCTTTATCCTTGATATCTTTTAAAGTACACACATTAGACATAATTTTTTCAGCCTAGTCATTAGTATACTAAAAAATTATGAGCGAAATTTTGAGACCACGCTTATGCAGAATTGAATATAAATATTACTGATAAAAAGATCATGCTTAAGTATTTAAGATCTGATGTAACTCCTCTTTTACCCGAAGCATTCCATAAAATTATAGATGCTAGGAATACAAGAAATATATTATCAGTTTTAACTAAAAAATATAAGATATCGAAGACACGTATTTATAAAATTTGGCGAGAACAAAAATATCCTATTGATCCTTTATTAAAGAATAATTAGCCTAGTGGTCAAAATATTAATTGGGATAAAGAAATCAAAAATATATATGATCTATATGCTAAACTTTTTTACTGACAATTTTCAAGCTCTTAATAGAAGAAATTTATATTTGCATTTTTATTTCTATAGTTACTACTTACTACCATACTACTGATAGTAGCGTAATATTGATAGTAATATAATATTAATAGTAATGTAATACTGATAGTAGCATAATATCAATAGTAATACTGATAGTAGCGTAGTATCAATAGTAATACTGATAGTAGCGTAGTATCAATAGTAATACTGATAGTAGCATAGTATCAATATTTTTTTGTACATTTTTATTTATAATGAAAAAAAATCTCTAGCGATTAGCTACTAATATGATTACACCTCAGCTTAAAACACATATTAGTTCTAGGGCTAGTTACTTGTCTCCTGCAGATGATAAAGATATTATGCAATACTGTGATATAAAGTTCAAACCTTTAGCTCAGCTAAGTAAAAAATATAATATATCGAATAGTCGCTTATATCAAATTTGGAGAGGATAGAAGTTAAACAGGATTCAATAGAATGATTTAGCAATCATTTTAAGCATGAACGTTATGAATAAACAGAATGAGGAACGGATTCTGAAGAGATCACGCCAAACTGAAAGACCGAAAGAAGAATTTCAAAATAAATTCGATTCTGCCTTTACAGCACTGAAAAACAAAATACATGATACTAAAATTAGCGTTTTAGAAGAGGATATTATTTCAAATAGTAAAGCAAAAAAAACTGAAGGAAGAAAATTGAAAACTAAGGCTGTTCGCGTCTCTGATTCTATTTCACCTACCAAATCTTCTGAAAATGTCTTGGATTTATATAAGAGAACTAGTTCTAAAATAGAAAAAATTAGAGCATCTAGTCGTAATCTTATTTCTAAGTAATTATCTCCTTTCATATTGGTCAAGCAAACCATTATAATATCCTATAATTTCTAAATTCGATTGGATGCTAGAGAATAATACTTTTTTAAGTTCTTTTACACAAATTGCCATATCCTCAATAGTGACGCAATTTATACACTTTTTTTTAAGTTCAACTCTGGCTCTTTTTTTATAGTGAAGATATTACACTGGGATTTGTGAACTGATAGGGAGATGGTGATAGTCTTTCCATTTCGGCTTGCCTTAAATTTCTCCTTTACTAAGAATTCTCATCCTGCATGATATTATCATTGTGTTCCAAGAATAAATAGTGATAATTTTTTCCACTATTATCATATTCTATAAGGACGACAGAAAATTCATCTGGAATATTGTCTCTATTTTTCCCATCCTCAATAGTTACAGGGACATTGTTAACTATTCTAAGAGAGTGTGACTTACTAGCAATCCCATTAAGCCTATGAATCTTCTTTCTATCTATTTTAAGCCCCAAATGCTTCGCTACATTTTCATAGACTATAGACGAGTCTGATCTACTATCAATCATTGCATAAGAAATAGTTATGTCTTCCATTTTACAGGAGATGGTCACAACATCATCAGCATCTTTTATTTGAAGAAAATTTATCTTTCGTGGTATAAGCCAATATATTTGGTTATTTTTTTTTTTAGCTGAATGATATTGACTAGATTGCTTTGTGATTGCATATACTTTAATAGTATAGTTTAGAATATTAGAACCTACTGGTATTATGTTATTCATGAAATCATCTGATTCAGTCCCTCTGTGACCTTCTAGCTTCTCTTCTATCAGAACTTGAATAAGAGGTTTTTGCTCTATATTTATAGCTTAGATTAGCAGATGTAAAATATCTATAATTTTATTTATAATATACTCCCATACTTTTTCCTTTTCATAACAGTATTATCTTTCATAGCCGTATTCAAAATCTGATCTTTCAATTTAGGGTATATTGTATTAATATATTGAGAGCCTTCCTTAAGAATTTCTTTAGAAATATGTTATACAACTGATGATAATATAGAGTTTAAGGCTATTAGAAAAACATAATCTACAGTTATAGATGCTGTGAGTTCTACTTTTTTATGAGATTTAGAAGTAAAGGATTTCCTGGTTGCTCCTTCTTTTGGTCTCTTTTTCATTAGTATTCCACTTCACTCTACTTTTTTTTTGATGCATAACAATTTCGAGGTTCGTTATCATTTTCATCATCATATTCAACATATTCAATATATTCATCATCTTCTTTTATTTCCTTTTCTTTCACCTCACCAAATTCTTTCTCATCTATGTATTCTTTTTTAAAATTTTTAGGTTCTTTCTCATCTTGAGCTAAAGGCACTAAAGCATATACATGATTAAGCTTTTTAATATTCTTAACTCCAGGATAATTAATCTTTATTTGGCCAGCCTTTTTACAGACTAAGTAAAGACAAATAATTTGTTTAACTAGTGCTTTTTGTATTACCTTTCTAACAGCTTTCTTTGTAGCATTTGTATTTCTAACCCTTAACTCTGAGAAGAGACTTCTTCTAATATGAGTTATTTTACGTCCTAGCCTTCTACCTAGATTATCATAAATAAATGTTTCTAATGTATCAACATTTGTTGCTATTTCTGAATAATCCAAATCCTTTGATAACTGTTTTACTAAATCAAGTGCCTTAATTCCTTCAGCTAGTGTATCATTTTGTGATGTAGGAGGTATTAGTTGAGATACTATAGGTATTTACGTACTAATACTTGGGTTATGCTTCAACCATAAATTCTTTAATTCTGTGAAAAATGCATCTATACCACCTGGATTGGAAATTCTCATCTATGTAAAGAGATCACCAGATAGGTAGGTTTTAAGAAATCCTAAAACTTATGCATCATTATCTACTATGCCTAATAATAATGGTCAAATTCTGGTTTCATATGTATCTGAACTATCTATAGGTAAAAATCTTTCTTGAATTAATCTTTGCATGGCTACTTGCTGGCTACCTACTGTTTCATGCTGATATTTTGCATTCATTCATACTCTTAATGTAGCTGGAGAATTAATAGAAGCTACAGGGTTAGTATAGGGATTATTTGCTGGAACTGATATATATTTTCCTTCTAATTTGGATTTTAAATGACCAAATTTAATCGTATCATTAAAGTCTTCAGCATTGACATTTTCAAGTGCTGTTATATTTGGCTCTAAATGCGAAATAGAATTCCAGATTTATCTAAGTAATTGTTGGGAGTTCCTGCCCAGTATATTAATTATGTTTTGCAAAAATAATTGCTATTGTATTGTATAACAGTTATTTTCTAGCTTCCGCCATATTTCCTAGAGGGTTATTAATTTGTAAATTTAAAATAATTTGCCTCGAATTTATTTTCCTAGCTTTCCATTTTTGATACCGATTAAATATTCAGACCCTGTTAAATTCTGCCAAGTCAGTCTCAGCTTTACGTCTTCGATTTATTAACTGAAGGCCTACCTTTTTTTGTAATAATATATGGTTACGCCTTTCTGCTCTCTGAGTTTTAAGCCACCATACCTAACGCTTATTTGCTTCATTATTATATACTAAAGTTAATAATTGAGCTCTTCAAAGACATTCATTTCTAACATTTGCCATATCATTCATAAAGTTATTGACCTGTCTATTAGCCATATTAAGCAAATCTTAATAATGTAAAGTCTCATTTGATATCTTTTGCATATGGGTGCAAATAGTTGTTAATGTTATTCGTATACCATTCAAGATATTTTTGGAATCAAATGATCTATCTCCATTAACATATAATTTAATACAGTCTATAGCTGTAGCAATATCTCTTAAAAGTTCTGGTAATAACATTGGTGAACTATTTATTTAGGATAATTTTTTATCTGTAATCTCCCTAATTTGCTTTTTAAGCTGTTCAACCATATCTTCTAGCCTTAAAATATGAATATCTTGAGCAATACTTGCATTACCTTTATGCTTTAAATCCTGTAATGCTTTGTGAAGATGCTGTTTAAGAGATTTTATCTCAAACTTAAGAGATGCTATCTCATCTTCATGAGCTAATATTGTTGAATTCTGATGAGATAATGTCTTATAACAGTTTTCTAGTTCCCTAGAAAGTGATTTTAGCTTTTTATTCTTAAGTTTGCTTTCACTTATTTCATCCTTTAATTCTTTGTGCAACTCTTTATTAGTATTTAGAATTTTTATGTAAGCGGGTCATCCATGTTAATTTCTATTATTCAGATAGAATCGGGTGAAACTCAAAAATTTGATATTTCTATTGCTTTTCAGAAGATTTATTATCAGCTTTCGGGCTATTAGAGGACTGCGAAAAAATTACACAAAACCTCTCAAAAAGCTGGATATAATTTTTCTCTTGATGAGGTGTGTGACTGGCTTAAGAAACAGGCTGTGCATCAGATACATAAACCTCGTTCTAGATTTATTCAGTATGCTTCCTTTAATAATATACAATTTTTAAATGAAGTACATCAATCTGATACTACCCCTATGCCTCATGATAAAGTAGGTAATCAGATTTACAAGTATAGGGGTGTTATTAAAGATGTTGCAACTAAGTATCATCGTAGTTTTGCATTGACTGATAAATCTTCTATGCAAATGGTTAAGAATATTCAAAAAATTTATGATGATCCTAAAGAACCTCTTTCTTGATTGATTTGTTTTAATTCAAATAAGGGGACAGAATATTTAGGGGATTGTAAGAGTTTATTGCTTAAACATGATGTAAAAATATAATATGCTAAAACTAAAAAAGGTAATGCTATAGCTGAACGTGATTATAAAGAATTTGAAAAGCATTCTAGTATTCAGCAAGATGCTATGGATTTTTTGTTACTTTTATCAAATTGTTCTAGAGATTGGGTTAGAAGTCTTTATGTTAATGATGACATATTTAATAGTACTCCTACTCAGTTAATAGATATGTCTCCTAATGAGGTGGTAGAAAGATCACTTAATAGGGAGAAAATAATTGCTAAGTCAGCTGTAAAACATTGTCAGCGTTGAAAATTTGCCTTAGAAAAATGATTTACAAAGGCATTAGATTTAATTTTATGTAGATCATATTAAGGAAGATCTTGATCGACGTATTGCATTAGAAAATTATTTAATTTGAAGGATTTACAAAATTTACCTGATT